CCTGAGACCTCTCAGTTTGGCAGCTGGCTTGCCCCGGTGCAAAATCAGGCTCCCCTCGGCCCAGAATCAGTTTTTGCCTTGGCCCACTGCTGCTTTGGGGTAGAACATCCCTGGTGCAAAAGCAAGGTGGTGATAGCCAGGAGAGGCAGTGGGCCAGGGCGAGTCAGAGCCATCCCTCAGCCAGGGCCATCCATTCTAATTGCAGGTTCAGTGGAAAGCCTGTCTCACACGACCTCGTCCCCGCAGCCATCGCCAGCCGCCTCCACCCACGCCTCCCACATCGCCGATCCCTCCTTCTCAGTCGACCATGCTGCTGCTGACGCGTCTGCCGCGGAGGAGACCCCCAGCGAGTCAGAGTCGGTCTTTCTCCCTGACTACCTCTTCCTCTCCAACTGCGAGTCGGGCAAGCTCAGCCACAACAGGTAGGTCTGGGGTCTGCCAGATGCATCGGGCTGGAGCCACCCTCTGCTTGCCCAGTGATGCCCTGGGAAACTGGGGCAAACTGGTCCTTGAGCCCTGCCACTCAGGGTAGGCTCCTGAGCACAACAGGGGACCATCAGCCTAATCCAATTTGCAGGGGGCTTTTCATGGCGCAGATTAGCGGTTGAGCATCATATGTTGGCCCTGGCCCTTTCCAGGGTGGGTGGCTGAGGACCTCACACACGGCCTCCCTCCAGACGCCCTTTCTCCCTGCTGCTGCCCAAGGTGCTCCCCAAAGTGCCCTGTCCCAGAGACCAGCTCAGGTGGGACCTTCCACAGCCATAGGGAAGGGACAGATTCTGTCCCGAACTGTGGGATTGTTTTTTTTTTTTCTTGCTGTGCACTTGCTGAGTTGTAACCAGGAGAAAAAGAAAGCGCAGGTGCTGACCTCTGTCTCTGTGCAGGTGTGACAGCTGGTCGAATTCCGACAGATCCCTGGAGCAAACCTCATCAGATGATGTTTTTGTGGACTCCTTACAGTCCCAGCCCTCCTTGTACCTTGTACAGCCATCCAGCGCTGGCACTGTGCACCAGGATGGGGCCCTGCTGGCAAATTCCAGCACTGTATCCAGGAACGTAGACATTAGCGGGCCGCCCAGTGACTTTTCCTCCTCTTCTCCACTGCTGGGGACGCCGCTGACACCGACCTTTCAGATTGACAAGAGCCAGAACATGCTGCCCTACGGTGTAACCCAGCTGGACGTCCTGTCCAACACACCCCCACCACGGCCGCCCAAGCCAAGCCACTTCTCAGACAGGAGAGGGGATGAAGTGGGTAGCGGGGCCCTCCAGAACGGGCACGCAGGGATCTGCCAGGCTCAGGTTGCCCTGGTGCCCAGGAGGATCTCCTTGTCCAGCTTAGACAACATGAGGAACTGGAAAGGTGAGTGCATTTCCGACAGCCAGCGAAGCAGGACTGGTGGGAGGGATGGAGCTGCCCACGAGCGCAGAGCGGGTGCCCACCTCCAGTTGTCCCTCCCTGTCCTCCCCTCTGTGAAATCACACACAAAGCAACCTGAAATGCTTGTTTCAAATTAGTTAGCGAGCAGGATTCAGACCTGTCCCTCACATCCAGCTCCTGCTCTGTTAAAGCCCCTCAGTGCGTACACACGGGCAGTGATTTCGCTGTGATCTCTTCAGGGTGCCTCATGACTTGTTAGTTTTCCGTGCCTCCTTCCTCTCCAAAAAAGAAAGCAGCAGAAAAACAAAAATGAAAAGCCAGCCACCAAATCAGGCAACGCCAAGCTCTGTGCAGGTCAAAATGTGGGCTTCCACGTGGGAAATGCATAGAGCATACGCCGTGCTGCTTCACCACATCTAGTCCTTTCCATAACAGCAGCGTGTCTTTCGCAGCTTAGAGTAAAGAACAGGAAGCCAGGGAGACACGGAACGGGATGTAATCCTGGTTGAACCAGGGACTCTCTATGTCCTTGAGCAAATCCCACTCTGTCCTTGCACTTCAGCCCAGGGTAGCCTGAAAACCCACTGCAGAGCAAGGCTCTGCTGCAAAGCAAGTTCTGCTCTGAGCTGAGGTGACTTTTCTGCTTGTTCTTGAAACACCATCGTCTCAAACAAAAATAAGTCAAAACCCCAGAACATCAAGGTGTCAAAAACCAGCATGCGCAGTATGACAAAGTTTTATTTTCTGGAGCCACAGAACCAAGGGGGACAGCTGGAACACCTGGTTGGAAATCATCAAGTATTTTGCAGTGATGTGTCATTTTTGGTGAGAAAGAAAATGTAGGTTTTTAAGGACAAGCGTCCCTCAGACTCCTGTAGTTTGCGTGAAGAACCGGTGTTTGGGGCTGTTAGATCTTGCTGCTGAAGCAAGGAGACCTCTGCCCAGCCTGTTTATCAGTGTACAAACAATTCTTGGAAGGTTTCTGAAGAAACACCCATCAGTGGAACTGGTGCTCCTAATTATCAGCTACATTTGGTTGCTCCCTGAAAGGTGCTGCTCTTGCCTCTGCGCGTGTGCTGCTCTAACGCCGCCAGCGCGCTGGAGACACTTAATGTTCCTCCAACCCTATTTACACCAAAATGTTTTTAAGAGGATTAAGTGGCCAAATGTCATGTGCTGCTACCGTGCTGCAAGGTTATCTCTGCCTGACAGGGGGCAGCAACGAATTAATAAGTGCTGCTATTTTTTCTTACCCTAAGTGCAGCTAAAACTATTTGAAAGGTTAAACTCTGAATTAAAATGTGTTTACCAAGAAAGACTGGAAAAAGAAACAGGGAGAAAGCAGCTGATCCTCACCAGCTCCCAGAGTGAGTCCACTCGAGTTATTTACTTGTTTTATTTATTTTTTGCCCTTGGCAGCCTGTAAAAGCTGAACAGATGTAATTAACCCAGTGCAAAGGCAGCAGCGTATGCTGACTGCAGTGCCATGAAGGGGAACGAGCTGTACACGTGTAAGGCACCTGTATCCTGGCATCTGCCAGAGCATTGTGCCTGAATGTCTTTCTGGCAAATTAATAAATAAATGTAGCTGTCCCCAGACAGTGACTGTGTCTATCTGAACATATCCGCACTAACAGTATTGCTTTGTTCTTGTTTAGCACTTTTGTCTGTTATGCTGATACCACCACAAAGGCCCCCAGTTGCAATGCAGTATTGACATCTCCACTATAAGAGCAGGGACTGGATTGACATGGTTGCAGGGTTTTTAGGCATTCCCACAGAAAAGCCATTTTCTGCATAGAAAATCATTTTCCAGAAAGGATGGCAGCTGTAAGCATCTCCCACTGCTGATCTTCTATGCACTGAATGCCGGGTTTCATTTTTTTGCCTTTTGCTTCAAAAATAAAATTGACCTACACCAATACAAAGGCCATCGACACCATGACCAGGGACCTTTTCTCTGGCTGTTTGTTCCCTGTCAGCTTGAGCCACTTGCACCACATCAACATGTCTGGGTGACAAAGAGAAGAATTTCTCTCCTACCGTTAAGTTCTCCCATGCACCCTCTGTACAATAACAGGTGCTTCCCTGGCATCTGACATATGAAGCTCCTAAATAACTTGCCAAACAGTAATGAACTAGTATTCCCCGCAGTCCCATTTCAGATAATTTATCCAATTTGACAGATGGGAAAACAGAGTGGGGCTAGAGCAGGAGCAGGGTTTAAACCCCAATTACTTGTGTTACAGGAAGCATAAGTTACAGCTGGATTATACATGAACATGTTCCTTGGTTTCATCATACTTAGAACAGACGTAATCACTCCCGAAATGTTACTGAGCTGGTTCTGGTCTTAAGTGTCATTGGATTTCCTCATGTAGAATAAATACTAGGAGTTATGGAAACTTTATAAAGCTCTAATTATTTTAGAGCCATATGCTTTATTCCAGAATTATCTCCATAAGGTTGCACTGCCTTATCACATTTTTAATCACTTTTTTTTTTCCTTGCAGCAGAGATAGAAGGCAGTTCCTTAAGAAGTCGGGATAAGAGGCTTAGTTTGAATTTGGTAAGTACTCTGCTTGCATAAATTTAAAATACTGGCACATGACAAACTTCAAAAAGTGAATCATTTCACATGCTGATATTCAATCGTTCCTCTCCTGTGTTGAGCAGAAGAATAAAAAAATGGAAGAAGCACTTGGCTTTGGGCAACTTCTGTGCTGCTTCTTCGCAGCCACAGGAAGCCTTTGAGAGAGGAGGGAGGGGGAGGCCACAAGACTGAGCGTCCTGGCTTTTAAGCAGATGAATCCAGGTCTGTTGTTAAAAAGGATACTGGTAGCCTTGAGAATTAAACTGTTGACCAAGAACACCTGAGAAAATTGCTTATCTCTTGAAAGAAGGGTCTAAAGGAACCTATCGCTTCATGATCCTGAGGGATATCTCCTCTTCAGGACATAGGAAAGTCTCTGCTCTCAAAGCGCCTGTGATTCAGGGCTCTGTCAGTCCGAAGCTTCCTGACTCAGCCTTTGACAGACATGCTTATATGTAGCACCATCACACACATCACATAGCCGGTCTTCTGCCTGGCACTGGATACTGTCTTCTGTGCAGGAGATCCTTCCCTGCTTGTATGTAAGCTCTGGTGGTAGGCAACTTATATTTTTCGCCCCTTTGAAAGCTTGCAAGATTTGTAATCAGTCCCTCTCACCGCTCAGCCAGCACTAACCTGCATGAAATCAATTTCTAGTGTTTATTTTCAGCTATCAGCAGCAACTTGTAGGTATGTGTGTCTGCTCTCTCAGCTTCCACATTTGCAAAAGCCTAGTTGATCAGATATTCTCCTTTCAGATGTTTTTATGTATGAAGGAGCCTCCTTCATTTTATAGGGTGGAATTACTGCTGGGATGCAAGTGCAGCCTCATTGAGGTTGGAGGATTTAACCTACTTAAGTCACCGATAAGTTTGGTCCTAGTTTCCAGCAGTGACTTGCGAAGCTCAGAAGTGGATTTCTCCAGAACTGGAGTGTGCATCTAAACTCATCTGTCTCGTGTCTTTCCAGCTTGCGCCTCTCAGAAAGGTCACATCAGGACTCGCCTGGCCTGGGGCTCAGCTCAGATCTATTGCCAGCTCGCAGCACCTCCTGGCTTGCAAGGGGTTAGCTATTCGTTTATTGACCCATTTCTCTTTCTTTTCCTTCTTTGCTTCTGAAGCCCTGTCGGTTCTCCCCGCTCTACTCGACTGCTTCGGACAACACAGAGGACAGCTATGTCCCCATGCGCCCCAGCACCTCTCCTTCTGCACCTGACTGTTCACCCGATGGCTACATCCCCATGAGCCCCGGCTCAGCCACGTTTACCTTCCCTGTCGTCAGCACTGAAAAACTCACCAGCCCGCTACCTGAGCTGCCCTCGGACTTGGAGCCGCCTCCGGTGAACCGAGACCTCAAGCCTCGTCGGAAATGTAAGCCCAGACCTAAACTGCAATTGGCAGCCAGCGGGTCCTCATGGCGGGAACATGGGTTACCTCCTTTGATAGTGTCCTTGGCACATTTTAAAGCGCTTCCAGAAGAGGAATTGAATTGCTGTGTAAGTGGCTTATAGTACTGTAACACAGGATGCGTCCACAGGGTCGTTTGCAAGCAGAGCAAGAGCATCCATGTCTACGTTTGCAGTCAGAGACCAGGTGGCTGCATTAGCATGGTGCATGGCTTCAGATCCACTCTGACTGCAAATCACCAAATGGATATAGCCTTAGAGAGACAGCAGACTAAATCCTGCAACTCTGAATTACCCATACTGCTGTCTCACCAGCTCCCTGACCTTCCAGGAGCAGGACATCCAAACACTCAAAACTCGATGTGTGGGCTGTTGGTTAAACCTCTGTTGGGTAGGTGCAGCTGTCTTGGTTTAATCAGGAATTTCCTGCAGATGCTTTTTCTGATGGTAATTTTCCACTCCTCCTTTTCATGGCATCTCCAAAATCTGGGTTGCGCTTCCAGAGGATATACTGGGGACAAAATTTAGCTTTGCAGTGGAGAAATTGCCTAAACCTAGCCTACATTAAAGCTCTTTGGGCTACAGAGCCAGAGGGCTACTTGGAAATTGGTTCAGGAAATGTTACTGTGAAGAGGGGACAGAAGTTTAGACCATTGCCAGGAAGCAAAGCTAGCTCAGGTACTTTCTTAGAGGGTTTCGAGAATGGAGTGGAAAATGTACATTGATTGGTGAGAGGGATGATCTTGATCTCCACATGTTAGGACCCTTATGTTTAGAAGAGAACCCAAAACCTGTTTTGACCTGCAGGCTGAACTGGCCTCTCCTCTTGAAGGCCGTGTACACAGAGCAGGTTTCAGGCAAGCACACGGATCTTGTGGGGCATTTGCTCTCCTCATGCCCGTTGTATTTATTCTGTTGTGGTAAATGAGGGATTTTGCTAGTGGTCATTTTTTACTGATTTCTGCCTTGGTTATATCAGTTATGTTCTGTGAAATACTCTGTTAGTTTCTTGCTGTTAATATAAAACCGCATTTTTCTGAACAGTCTGTACTTTTCTTTAGCTCTGCAATTGGAAATGTAGTTGCTTTTGTATCTACTTGCAGCACGGCCACCTCCTCTGGACTTGAGGAACCTCTCCACAATCCGGGAGCATGCTGCTGTGACCAGGATGTGGACTGTGCCTTAGTAAGTCAACAAGAAACCCGCCGTTCCAATCTTTTAAGATTTGACATTGTGGAATGGAGTTAAAAATAACTTATCGCATCCCACAAGAAACAATTTCCTGGCAAAGTCCACAAACAGAAATTCCCCAGGGCTCCTTCCAGCATCCCCCAGGCTTTTGCTGTCTCTAAAAAGCAAAGCTGCCTTTCATGACGGGCAGCTCCAGTGCGTTCAGCATCGCACAGTGATGCCCAGTCTGTTTTGAAGGTTCCTTTCAAAAAGACTGGAGCTGGTCTGCACTCTGTTGTGGCTGTGGCTGCTGGGATGGCTAAAAACTTCACGTGCTTGAATTATTTTTTTTCAAAGTGATAGAGCTGTTTTTGTTCCTGAGAATTAATATAGCAAAGGAGAACCACATAAGATAAAGATCTGCCTGACTAGTAGTCTGGGTGTAGAATTTTGCTGTGCCACACAGCAATTCAGATTTGACCTGTTGGTGTGACCTTTTGTCGATGGAGCTTTGTTGTGGGGTAAAACAAACGCTTTTGGTCCCAAAGCCCAGGCAGAATGAACAGATGATACTGCTGGGCTCCAAGCGCAGTGAAAGACTCATCTTGAGGGAACTCGTGAGCCAGGGAGGACTGCAGCCTGCTGGCTGGGGAGATCCTGGCGGTACGGAGAAAGGCTGACAGGAGAGCCAGCTGTGCTGACATGTGCATGCAAAAGCCAGGAATTCCCACCGACCTCCTCTCCATACCCTGGTCACTCTGGGAGATGTGGCTTTTTCTAGCTTTTGAGGGCCAGACAGGGCATTTCCACTCCCCCTCCTCAGGTAGTCATTCGGAGGGCAAAAAGGGATGCGAGATGGGCAGTTTCTCGGCTTCAGACCCCTCTCTCAGCCGTACAGTCCAAAGCCGGTTAAGCCCTTCGGTGCTGCATGTTAGGGACACCCAGTAGCCTGCCTCCCAAGCATCCCTGCCAGAGTGCTGTGGTTAATTAGTGCTGACATAGTGCAGAGTCCTGAAGGATAACGAGCTTGGAGGGAGTTTGCATGTTTTACATTAACAAAACTAAAAAAGTAGTATGCCCGGAACTAATAAAGCAAAAGGAATTATACTGTTCATGCTGCATAAAGTGGCCATCTGATTTCCTAATAACTAACCCCGTTGTGCTAGCCTGCAATCATTTACTCACGATATACCTCTGACAGCCACGTTAGTGGAAGAGATTTCCTTGTACAAAGGCTGAGTCGCAGCCTTCTCCATAGCACAGATAGCATGTGTTTACACTGTGTTCAAAGCCAGACAAGTTCCCCCGCATGCACCCCCAGCAGCCGAGTAATTCACATCAAACTCCAAAATGTGGATACCCACAAAACTAAGTAACTGCCCCATCGGCACATATTACCCAGATGAATGGTATCTGGCTCTGTGCCCCTTGTTGGAGAATTGCTCCAATGTTTTATGCTTTCTGTCATACTAGAGATGGCAAACTTTCGCAAATCCAGCAAAAAAAATCAACAAAAACACTCACAGCAATATAGCACACTTTTTCTAGAACTGAGAAGTGGTTTTGGACATCCTCTCCATAAAGGCTGCAGCGTTAGTGTGAGTTTATTCACCATATGGACTGTGTCAGGCTTTGGCTTCATTTCAGAGCATCTGTAAGATGCTTCCTTAACCTCTCCTGTGTTTTTCTTCATAGCAATCGAATGAGCTTTATCTCACCAGAAAGAGACGGTATTAATTCAGCAAGAATATTTGCCAATTCAGTTTCCGGAGAAGAGGAAGAAAGTTACATTCATATGGTAATCTTCATTTTCACACAGCCATCCTTTGCTTTATTCTGCTCTGTCACATTGATGGAGAATGCAGAAGTTTGTTTTCTAAGAAAAAATGTTGAGGAGGTTTGTCCTTTGCCTTCTGTTTTTTAAAAAAATGATGAAACGGTTTTAAACCAAAGACACTGGGACCAATTTACGGAGAGATAAGGGAAGCCCTTCTTCTGCTCCGCAGAACTCAGCTGTTCGCCCACGAATGTTGCTGAGCAGTTCCAAGAGATCACAGGGATCAGCCATATTTACATGAGAACTCATTAAGGCAAAGGAAAATTAAATCTTTTCACCTTTCAAAAGTGTGCCCTGCGAAATCTCCTAGGAAATGACAGAAAGCCGTTAGTGCACTTCCTAAAGAAACACACCAAATATTGTGCAGAAACAGAACTCCCATTAAAGTCTCTTATTGCTTGTGCTTTGGCTGGTGGCACTAACCCCTCTTCCCATCCCATGAAAGAAGAACATCTGGCTTTGTGGCTTACTTTTCTTCATTCACTCTTTAGCCATATCTTGCAAAAGACCAGAATCTCAGTTTCCTTTGAATTTTAGGTGGAAATGGATCTCAAATCCCTCAGTCTGAGCCAATGTCTACAGATTTGGCTCCATAGCCAAAGCCAAATAGCAGTGGCTATGGAAATATATTGCAAAAGTGACCACAATCTCCATGAACCATAGTCTCAAATTTTAACCCACATGTCTACTAGATCAAAACCTGCTCAGAAGGGCAGTTCCAGTTGTAACTACTCCCCACTTGATTTTTCTAGTCAAATAAAAGCTTCCATACATTTGTGGTCATCTGTGATTTTCCTGCGATTAATTTTCAGTTGCTAGATTTAAACAGAACTATCACTGTTTCTTAAAACTCACAGAACAATGATTCTTAAGAGGGCACCCCTGCAAATCTGAGCCCCTTCCAAGGGCTTGGGCTGAGAAGCTGGTCACAAGTCCTTCCCTGATAATGTTGAAGGAAAATCAGACATGTTTTCTTGTTTTGCCATAATTACCAGGAGCAAAAGGCTCTCACGGTTTCTTTATGCCATCCCACAATTAATCAGTGTTACCCTGTGGTTAGTCACCAAACACACCCTTGGCATAGACAATTACGTGGATGCTGACCCTCCACACTCGCGTTCTGCCAGACGAGTCTCCCACCTCACAGTAGTAATCCTGCTTCCTTTTGGGATCATGTTTTAAAAGCATTAAAAGTTTCTCTTCTTTCCTGACAGGAACACAGACAGGCAACATCTCCTTACAGTGGTGCTTTTCCATGGACAAGGAAATCTAACCTTGATTACTTAGCGTTGGATTTTAATTCTGCTTCCCCATCCCCTGTACAGAAGGTATGAGTCATTTGAAAATCCCCACAGCCTCCTATCTTTTTGTCTGCTGGGAGGAAAACGGGACCGAGAGTCACACTGTGCTAGGTGCCCTAAGTATCACGATGAAGCCAGTCGTGTTTCCAGCTGACTGCATTTGTGGCAGGCTCAAGATTAATATAATAAAAGCACTATTAGGGTGATTACAAAGTGTCCTTAGCGTGACTCACAGGGATGCCATTAACATGAGCTCGGCAGAGGGCATGAGACTGTGCTGGGATGTGCAGCCGTGAGGGGTTGTGGGTAAGCTTGTTGGTGCTTGCAGGATCTCTGCATGCTCTTTCTTTTTCATCAAGTCTCCACAAACCCTTTCCTGCTAGTTTTCCCCCAAATCTCTTTGCAGTAACAAGTTTACAGCCCATGATAAATTCACGGGGTGAAACTGTACTGTCTCTTGTAACACGGCAAAATGTGCATCTTTATTCTTGCATCGCCAAAAGCATTTCAATTTCCTTAGCAACGCTGAGAAAACACATTCCTTGTCCCAAAGAGTTTATAGCCTGCCCAGGTAGGTACCACTGCAAAGCAATGAAGTGTTGTCGGTTTGGGCCATTCTACGTCCTGTGTATCATTTTCCCCATCAGCTAATATTCCTGGACGCAAAAGACTCAAGACTCCTAAGCTTTCATATTTAAACCCTCCCTGTAGTTAAAATGCAGGATCACTCAAATGAGAAGAGGATGATTACCTGCATGGAAATAGCCAGCACGTTTCCCTCGCTCAGTGTGCTGGGCTGAGTGACAGGGTGACAGGCGGATAATTATAGCTAAAGCAGGCTGTAAAGCAGTGCTTTTGTCAGCTGATGTCACTGTGAGCTTCAAGGTGAAGTGAAGCAATCAAGGAACAAGGGAAAGGGAAAGCAGAAAATCAAGCCAAGTTTCACTAACATCCTTTTTCAACCCTAAAATTAATACATTGTTTTTTTCCTCTCTCTCCCACAGAAACCTTTTCTCTCTGAGGAGCAGAGAGTGGACTATGTCCAGGTAGATGAACAGAAGACTCAAGCTTTACAGAACACTAAGCAGGAAAAGCAGGAATGGACAGATGAGAGGCAATCGAAAGTCTAAAGGAAGAAGATTTGGGATCTGGAGGATTTTTTTTTTTTGCACTGGAACCACAATGTTAATGAAGCAGCTATCACAGTAGAGTTCAAAGGCAGAGAGAGTTGCCAGATGCTTACGGTCTGTAGAAGAATGGCCTTCTTAATGGGAACCTTTGATTTCAGCTGAAAATAGTATGTTGAATGAGTGAGTGGTTCACTGATGATTAAAGTAATGCATTACCCTTTTTACTGCCCTTACCAGTAAGCTACATGGTACCATTTTCTGGCATGATTCTGCGACAAGTCATACACTTAAAGTTAACAAATCCACTACATGTTGCATTAATCTAGTTAGTCCTGCCTTCTCCCTTTGTTGCATAATTCCTAGTTGCTAAAGCTATTTTTTGATATTCCTACAAATACTGTGGGTGCTCAGCATGCTTTTACGGCAGCAGGCATCTGACAGGTATTGGTGACTAATCAACTAAGGGCTAAAATACTGAAACAATAAAAAGAACTTTTTGAATATATAGTGCTTAAGCAAAGAGAACTTTGGAAAATATTTTTCCCCCGGATTTAAAAGTTCTGACTCTGAGCTGATGCTGTCAGAAACTCGAAACAGGACTATGTACCAATGGGACTGGAACGCATGGTCTTTGACCCTCTGGACGACGGTCATCGTATTAAGCTTCTTCTCTGCATTGTGGCTTATACTTGTCGCCTTTCTGTCTGACTCCTACTGATGTTTTCTCCCCTATCTTGAGGAGTGTCTTCAGCACAGCACAGCTGCTCCTCTAGCAGGAGGCTGCAGGCACACAGCTCTTGGCTGGCCAAAAAATAGAAAGGGAAGCTGTGAGCCTGTTTCTGCAAGTCTGGAGAGAACTGGCAAAGGATCAAGAATGCTTTCATCTGAGCTGCAGAAGAAATTCCATTGGAATTGCTGGTAGCAGTCGTCAAACTGATTGTTTCGCTAGACCCACCCCAAAAAAAAAGAGAATTAGGAAGTGCAGCGTGCTCTGAGAGAGGCTAGCAGGCCTGCCAAAATAAAACAACAATGCACTTACGTGGCGCGAGGACCTCTGGGTTCAGGAAGCTTATCTACCTTGGGACTTGTTACAGGCATATCTCAGGATCACATATGTGTATAGTTTGTAACATATTTAACTTTCAAAGCTTGGCTGCAATCTTTATTTTAAGGTGGCACACAGCCACGTGAACATGGAAGTAGGCAGTACCGCCGAGTGACCCACACTGGATTTGATCTTGCAGGCTTTGCTCACGCAGATAAGTCCCACTAGCCGCAAGAGGTCTGATCCTGCCAGCGAGGACAGGCAGCCAGGACCCTTATGCAAGGTTTCCTCTTTGACAGTGCCAAGTCACTGGCCTCCCTTCGTGTGCCTGTTGCTACCACGTTGTGTTACTGTAACGTGACATCCCAAAAATGCTGGTTTACCAAACAGAGGTCGTAGAAATGTCATTGCAGAAACCACTGGCATTTCAAGGCTCCTACTTACCGTCCTCCACGCACTCGTTCTGCTTCAGCCATTTGGGCACGCCGGGAGGCTGAGAGACGTGGCCGAGTCACACGTCCCGCTGGGAGAGGCAGAGTAGCTAACAGAAACACCGTTTTTCTCCTACCTCAAGAGAGCTGAAGTGCTTGCAAGTCTTGCTGCTTCTTTAGCACAAATGCAAAGCTGGGGATCCATGGTGACCAGGCTCTTGTTAGCTTACCCTGTGAGGACAACGAGGTTCACCAGCACCTTTATTGACTCTGGGGCAAACTGGGCACCCAGGCCTGCGGGCATGAAGTGTCCAGGACTAGAGCTGCTTGGAAAACCCGGGTTTATACCGCAGATAGCTGAGCTGCTGTTTCCTCCTACTCTGCTCCTCCTCCCCTCACCAAAGCTCTAAAATGAAAGGTAATGTTCGTAAAAGTTTTGAAAAGAATCCAGAGGTTTCCTTATAAACCTTGTTTGTCTGATGTGAAATCTAGTTTGTTAAAACCCAGTTGTTTTGTCCTAAAACTGATTGAGGAGAGCTCTGAGTTGTTTTGTCCTAAAACTGATTGAGGAGAGCTCTGAGCAACCATGCCCTGGGTGTGGTGTTGCTACAGGGGAAGTGGGTTTGGGGAGAGGCGGTGGAGGTCTGCGCCTCCGCAGAGGCGTTAGAGAGAGGAGGGCGAGGGAGGGCCACAGCTACAGAGACGTTTGCCTTTCTGCCCAAAAGAATTGCCTTTCTTTCCAGGTGTACAAATAACACATGTCACGGAAGGCTTTTGCTGTGTGCTGCCATACTGAAAGAGTTAGAAGGCGAGCTAAGACGTGTATTACAGCAGGGGACAGAAAACATCCACAGAGGGCAGGTAAAATTCTGCTATGCTCCTGCAGCTCCCGAATTGCAGAGTGATGGCCTGGCAGCCTCCAATGTGAATTGCAATAGCAAACAAATAGCTCGTGTTTGACTGGAGTGTTACTTTTCACACTTGTTTTCAGAAACTTCTGAAGTGGAAAAACACCAACTTATTGGAGACAACTTGTTATTGTAGTTTATTGTAAATTTATTTAAATTTATTTAAACTTCAACAAACCTGGCTAACGGATCATTCAGAAGTTTAGAAAAGAAAGAGCTCTTCATATAGCTTGGCAGGCACTGTCCTTGGGTCGGAATAGCCCCCTTTCAACTTCCTCGTGTCCCCTGCTTGCCCCCACCGCTCTCCTATCTTGATCAAATGCTGCTCACTGGTTTCTAACATTCACTTCTTAACTACAAGCTAAGTTTGGGGGTTTATTCAGATTTTTCATTTAAAGTCTGCTTTTACCTGCTGCTCCAGGGTCTGTGACATGCATTCTTGTGTAAGCACAACATGCAAAACAGGAGCAATTAAAAAAAACATCAAAAAAAAGTTTTTGAAAGCAGAGCAGTCCTCCCCCAAGGCTTTCATTTTTTTGTTTTAGTCAAATTCCACGATACTCCAAAGAGGATAAAGAGAGGAGGACGGTGGGAGGATGGCAAAGACCAAATCTGCTGTGGCCACCCCACCATTGGGGATTTCGGTGTGAACAGAGCCACAGAAGCCCCTGCTGCGATACACAGCCACGTACGTGTGGGCTGCCAGGCTGGGAGCAGAGCAAACAGGAGTCACTGTTTAATTAAGTCTGTTCTTAAATACTGATCCCTTGGCTAAAGAGGGAAGAAAACAGGGGAAAGCGCCTGAAAACTGAGTCAGCTTTTGACAGCATCATGTCTGAAAATGTAGCCCAGGCAGGAGCCCTTGCTTAGCACCGGCTCTGGGCTCAGCCCGGCACACTCCTGGTAGTGTCTTCTTTTTGCTGTGGGTCTGTTATGTTGTTATTTGTACGTACTTCTTCAAAAAGTATCGTGAGAGCTGATGCAGAGAGAGGCTCTGCAGCTACAGGAGCATGGGGCGGCCAGTGGTCCCTTCAGAAGCTCCTGTCTCCTGGGGGAACTGGCACTGCCCGGCTCAGGACCTGTAGTGCCTTCTCCAGCGCCGCTGGGCTTTCTCGTTTGAATGGAGAGGGGTGCTAAACGAGCAGAATAGTTTTCGCTTAATTGGAAAGGTCACTCAGTGGAGCTGCCAGATGCAGCTCGGTTGCAGGACGATGTGGAAGACAAACAAGCAAAATGGTTTCAGTCCTGCGGTTATTGTCAGGGTGAGGAGCTGGATTCCCCCCGCTGCTGGCACGGCTGGGGGGCGAGCCAGTTTTCCAGCTTCCAGGAGGGGAGGAGATTGGAGATTGGAGATGGATCTCTTTTACTGAAATTGTCCGTGGCCAATGAGCACGAAAACAGCCTGCGCCAAACACCTGCTTGAACCACGTCCTGCAGAACCATCAGGAAATCAATCTGATCTGAACTTCTTTCCTGGAGCGAGCAGTTATACACATTCCCAAGGTCTTCACTCAGTCTTTCAATGACCACACATTTGAGCAAGGTGTAGCAGGATCCAGGACTCGTTTGCTTTTGGGACTAAACTGTATTTTCCGTTTATAATTCCTTTATCACAGGAGGCAGCATTAAATTCCTTACTGGCAAATAGGAACATTTCACCCGAGAAAAGTCAACAGCCGTTTAACTCGAGCCAGGTGTTTTCAGCCAGCTCCCTTTTGACAACGGTAGCACCCGCTCTCTTCCATGTCATTATTTACATTATAGATGTAGATTTTGGAGCTGTGTTCACTCGAAGTGATTCAGTGGTTTAGTAATTCAAAGACCACCAGATGCTGTGATGAGAATGAAGCACAGGGCAATGCCTTTCCTTTGTCCCCTGTTCTGCAAAACTTGCTCAGGTTTTTTAAAAAAAAAAAAGCCACCAAAATAGCAGACTTTTGCCATGTCAAAGCCAGAATATTTTTTGTTCAAATAAAAGTAAACTTTTGTCTTGTGCAAATGAAGCATTATACGTTTTTTGTATTTGTAAATCTGTGGGGAAGCATTAAGCAGTCATCTCTGTTACAAAGGAGTAAGTCATTGATAAAGGGAAGGGGCTTGCCTTCCTGATATTTCATTGTAATGTTGTTGTATATATTTGCACATTAAACTGTGTATCTTTTTTCTAATAAATTAATATAAAATGTAGCTGTGATCTTTAATCATTTTGATAAGCGAAGGCACTCATGAGGAAAACGTCCACATTTTTCATTTAATTCTTCTTCCGTTTTTTAAATCTCTTGTTAGGCTGCGACTTGTGCATAGAAATTATTTGGATGCAAATTCAAACAAATTTGCAAACCAATTTTGTACACCCGTGGATCAGGAAGACAATTTATAGGTAACTTGAGAAACAAAGAACGATGAAGCTGCGACCTGGGCTCGTGTCTGCATCCTCTGGGGACCCGGGTACGCTGCAGCCCCCCAGGCCCTGCCGCTGCCGTAGCCAAGGGGCAAGAAGGGGCTGCACTTACTGACCGAAGACACAGACCACGAGCACAGATTTGTTCAGCATGTGCTCTGGGCTTGGCTACAAAGACTGGTTGTTATTTAACCTGATCCTTCAATTGCTCTGCG